TAGATCAGGAGTCCAGGTTTATAAGTGAATAAAGGAGCCAGAGAAAGTCTGACATGGAAACAGGAAAACAAAGGTAGAGTGGGTTGAATTGTGCCCCGGCCCCCACAGATATGCCCACTGGGAACCTCAGAATGTGACTCTTTTTGGAATTAGGGTATTTGCTGATAGAATTAAGAGAAAGATCTTGAGATAAGATAAAGATCCTGATCAGGGACACCTGGGTGGCTCAGTTGACAGGAGCATCCGACTCTTGATTTCAGCTCAGGTCATGATCTCAGGGTATGAGATCCAGCCCTCCCTCGGGCTCCCCACTCAGCAGGGAGTCTGCTTGATACTCTCTCCCTTTCCCTCTACCCCTCCCCAACCCCACCCTCCACTCTCTCTCTCTCTCAAATAAATAAACCTTTAAAAAAAAAAGATCCTAATTCAATGACAAGTGTCCTTATAAGAGAAAGAAGATTCAGAGACACAGATGGGAAGGCCATGTGAAGACAGAGTCAAAGACCGGGGTGATGCGGCCACAAGCCAAGGAACACATGGAGCGCCCAAGGGCTGGACAAGGCAAGAAAGGATCTTTCCCTACAGCCTCCAGGGGGAGCACAGCCCTGCCCACTCCTTGATTTAAGACTTCCGGCCTCCAGAAGAGTGTGAGAATGAATTTCTGCTGTTCTAAGCCACCTGCTTCGTGGTAATTTGTTGCGGTAGCTCTAGAAAACTCCTACGAAGTAACTGCAGAGTGAATCCCAAAAAGCAAGAACATTAAACCTAAGGTTCCCTCGCACTTCACGGCCACAGGCCAAGCCCCTCACTTACCACCTTCTCTGGACAGTTGACCCTCGGTGTCCGCACCTGGACTTCAGGAGCTGTTGGGGGCACCTGCCAGGGCTTGGGGCCAGCTCCTGGAGGATTGGGGGTCCCATCGTCAGCACTGGCCGCCTCACCCTCACCCTCGCTGCGGCTGCCCACACTGGCCTGGGCCCCCAGTGCCCGGTCCTCGGCCCCCTCAGGGTTGGAGCGTGTTCGGGGCCTGGGCTCAGCTGACTGCTCTTCTTCCTCTTCCTCTTCCTCCTCCTCCTCCTCCTCCTCCTCAGTGGGGCTGCTGGGCTCTGCCACCTCCATGGCCCCTAAGTGGCTGGATGGAGCAGGGTTGGGGGAAGCCAGGATCCTCCCCTAAAGGTTTTAAAAATATTTGGTTACTGGACAGGACAGAGCATGAATTGCTTAATGACTGTAAAAATCACTTCTTTCCAGGCCTCAGTTTCCTTATCTGCAGAACGGGTGCCTGGCATCCCATTTTTTCTGTAGTGCTAACCCTGCCCCTTTCCTGGGCCAATGAACAAATCTGGCCACCAGGAATGGCTCAGATATGGGGCATGACCCAATACAGGTCAGTGAGGGGCAGCTCTGGGGCTTCCAATAGTGCCATTAGGGAAGAGGGACTCGTTAACGAGTTGCAGAACTGGGAGGATAGAAGTCGAGAGCTGTCAGGAGCCTCTTTTGCCTCCAAGAGGGGAAAGAGAACCTGCTTGAAGTGATGCTCACCCAGAAAACAGCAGCTAGACCTCTGTGCACCTGGATCCAGCTATGCCTGAAACCGAAAAAGGAAACCTCATTTAAAATGGAATCGGGAGGCCAAAAGGGGAGCTTTCACCCCCTATCATAATGGCAGACCCCAAATTCCCCACAGAAAGAAGACTATACTAAGCCAGCAAGAAAATGAAAGATTGGGTGCCTGGGTGGCTCAGTTGGTTAAGCGACTGCCTTCGGCTCAGGTCATGATCCTGGAGTCCCGGGATCGAGTCCCACATTGGGCTCCCTGCTCAGCAGGGAGTCTGCTTCTCCCTCGGACGCAGCACCCCCCCATGCCCTCTCTCTCTCTCTATCTCATTCTCTCTCTCAAATAAATAAATAAAATCTTTAAAAAAAAAATAAAAAAAGAAAATGAAAGATTTTCTCCTTGCCTGGCAATAGCCTGGCCAATGACAGATTGTCACAACTCTGCCAGTGAAAAGCCATTAAGCTTCAATTCCCAATTTACTCCTATAGACTTTAGGTTTATAACAGCCAGTCCCAACTCCCCTTCCTCTATAAAAGAGCACTCCTCTCCTTTGTTCTGGACTTGCCTATGGTTTTGCTATATAGCTTGTGTGTTCTGAATTGTAATTCTCTGCTATTCCCAAACAAACCTCTTTTTTGCTGGTAAAAATAACTGACGATTTTAGTTTTAAGGCTAACAGAATAATTAGCTGGGGTGCCTGGCTCGCTCAGTCGTAGAGCATGCAACTCTTGATCTTGGGGTTGTGAGTTCGAACCCCACCTTGGGTGTGGGGATTGCTTAAAAATAAGAAAAAAATATTAGCTCTGGGATTCTCCCCAGCGGGCACCGGGCTGCCTAGAAGGTGTCTGCGCAAAGGAGCGGCACGAATCTAGGTGTTAAAGGTCTCTTTGAAGAAAGGACGCCAACAGTTTGCCTATCTGGGCTGGGGTGTGGGCTGCGGGGGATGGTCTCTGAGCGGCTTGTAACCCCCTGAATCTCTAAGGAAAACAATGCTTTAGCTTCAGCAAGAGGGATGAAGGCTAGACTGCAGGAGAAACCAGAGTGGAAAGCGGAAGCGTCAGGGAAGGCTAAGGGACGGGACCGCAACCACCCAACCTCTTCTCACCGTAGCCTGAGCCTCCCTCCAACTCAGCCGAGAACTGACTAGGAAGCCGCCATCTTTCGCAGCCCGGAAGTAGTGCGGCGCGGCCGCGACGCCTCCTGGGAAATGTAGTTCAGCAAGCCGTAAGACAAGCGGACAGCTGAACAGGGGACGGCTGGAGAGCCTTGAAAAGCTGATAGGCTGGGACTGTGCTAGGGAGTGGGGTTTGGAATGTGATTGGTTAAAGCAAGAAGAGCCGGAGCTTTGATGTTTCTGGCCGAATCAGGCTACACTGGTCAGTACTTCAACCCTGATAGGCTGGGACGAGGCCTAGTGGAGTTGACCTTTCTATGGAATAGATTGGTGGAGCTGACATGGCCCTCAGCGAGGGGCGGGTTTTTGCGGACTGAGGTGGGCGTGGCCCACACCCCAGGCCCTGCCCAGTTACTTAATTCTGCTTCTTATTTTACACATATTTGCAAAAACCAAAAAGACTAAGCCAAAACTAAAAAAAAAAAAAAAAAAAAAAAAAGACTAAGCCAAAACTATTTCAGACCACGTTTTCTTTTTCATGCGCACTTCTCCTCTTACCCCCTAACCATTTAAAACCCGCTCTGAGCCTCAGTTTCTTTATGTGTAAGAGGTTCAATTAAACAAGCTCTCATGAGCCAGGCTCTGGTCATAGACAGCCAGGAGGAGCTATGCAAGCTGAGTCTTCAAGGATGGAGAACTTGCCAGAAAAATAAGAGAATGAAAGGCATTCCAGAAAGAAGGAACCGCCTTGGTAAAGGTCTGGAGGCTTGCAAGAACCTTGGAGTGGTGGAGCCTTTAACAGGTTAATATGGCTGGAGCAGAGGCTAAGAGTGCAGATTTCAATGTGCCTGGGTGCCCCCAAGTCAGAGAATTGCAACTTCTTTCCTTACCGCCTTTGGACACAGAAGCAGGAAGATTCAGCCTCCTAGTGTCTGTCAATGGAATGAGGAAGATTCAGGCTACTCCAGGCTCTGCACAGTTTAAACCAAGTGAAGAAACAAGGAAAGGGTGTTCCAGGCCAAGGTTACAGCATAACCGAAGGCCCTGGGTGTGAGAATTGTGAACCTTCAACTGTTCACGGAGGGGGTCATCGTGGCTAAAGCAAGGAGTGTACATGGGCCCAGGCAGCAGGCATAATTTTTAAGGTCCTCGAATGCCAGGTAGAAGAGCTTGAAATGTTTCCCAAGGGCAATGGGGAGTCATGGAGGGTACATGAGCAGAGGAGGTGACCAATGCGGTCTCTCTCTCTCTGGGGCCTGGCTGGGGAAGGGAGTGAAGGGGTGGTTGTAGAGTCCAGGGAGAGAGCTGGGCTGGCATCCAGGTGGTAGGGGAGAGGCTTGGGCTGTTATTATGGATAGAGTTGAGGAGGCCCTTTAGAGATGGATGCAGGGAAAATGGGCAGCATGTAGAGACAATCCGGGCTCTGAGAAATCCAGCATTTACACAGGAGAAACAGCAACTGGTAGAGGAAGCAGAGATGGGAGGGTCAGAGAGGTAGGGAGCAAGAGGGGCGTGTTATAATTCAGTTCGTGGATGGATTTTAACAAATTGCTTGTTAAAATTCCCATGACACTGTAGAAAAATGCTATAATTACCCCTCCCCCCCATTTTACAGATAAGGAAACTGGGGCTCAGAGGTGGAAGAGACATGAGATCAGAGGCTGAGGTGAGGAGGGACTGACATCTCTGGAGCCGGACACGTGACCCCCACTGGGACTGAGGAAGCTGATGTCCTGGAGGAAGCTGATGTCCTTGAGGAAACAGCACAATAACAAGTCACATGACCAGGGGAGGGGGGCTTCCTGTTTCCTGGCCCCTCCCAAGCCAGCCTTGGCTAGCCCAGGCCTAAGCAGGCAGTGGCCAGAGCTACCCCAAGAGTGTCCAGAGATTTGGGCTGCTGACCAAGGTACTCCTAGAGGCACAGAGGAGTAGAAGTAGAGCAGGCTGGGGGGACCCAAGCCCAAGATTGGGGCCTCTGACTCAAGAGGGCCCTGGGGAGGAGAGGTAACTCTTGAAGTCCTCAAGCCAGGCCCAGATTGGGGACAGAGGGGAGCACAGAGGTAGTGATAGATAAAGGAGGCAGAGGAGAAGGCGAGATCAGAACAATTTTCAGAGATAGTGAGCTGCCTGTCAAAAGGGGCATTCAAATGCGCCAAATCAACACTGATAACTCAAGATCCCTTCCGGAGGGAGAAGATCAATGCCCAGTCCACAGAAGAAGATATTAAGGCTGTCATTTGCCCAGGACAACAAAGACAACAAAGACAACAGCTGAGATCAGGCTGTGGTTTTAGGAGGAAGATTCAGAAGACTGACCTCTGGACAGCAATGAGTGCCCGGGCCACACGCCCCCGAAGCCGGCGAGGGAGGCACGCTCCGTCTGTAAGTGCCCCCCTCCCTGCCACACCCAGCTGTTTGGGGCCACTCAAAGCCCTGCCTGGCTCAGAGCTTGGCCCTGTGGGTCATCTTCAGGGGGAGCTGGATCCTGTGGCAGAGAGTTCAGAGGAGGCTGAGGCAGCCAGCGGGAGTTCTGAGCTGGGCCCTGCGCCATCTCAGGAGAGCTGCAAGCCAAAGCTGCTGGGGCCAGAGGCAGAAGCCAGTGGGCAGGGCCTGGGGAACAGGTAAGGCCCACTTGGTCTGTGCTCCCCACTCCAGCCCTGGTGTATCTTTCCTACCCACAGATCTCCCTGTGTTCCTCCCTTGCTCACACACATGCGATAGCTTCCCGTTGCCCTCCTCAGCCCAACTTTCAAGGCCCCAGATAATGCAACCCCTGTGAGCCGGACACCCCAGATGACCCCATTTCCAGAACCTTCCATCTCTCACCTCACCACAGGACCAACAAAGAGGCTGAAGGGGACTCTAGCAGAGGACTGGCCCCATCTCCTGAGGGACGCTGCAAGCCCGCAGAGGAAGGCCAGCAGGCCACAGATGTAGCCCCGCCGGGTGGGGAGACTGTCCTCCCCAAGCCTGAAGCCTCTGACATGTTTCAGATTCTCCAGCGCACTCTGAGCTCGCTGGAGGCAGCTGCTGCTACCTGGCACCACCGGCCCCCAATCTGTCCTGGGCCGTCGGAGGCTGAGGACAGAAGTGAGGTGGGACCCAGGCCCTGCTTGGAGGAGGAGGGGGCAGGGGGTTGCTGGAGGGAGGCAGCCCGCCTGGCGGAGAGGAATGACTGGCTGCGATTAGCCTTGGGCAGCCGCGAGGAGGAGCTGATTCGCATGCAGGCCTCGCTGCAGGCCATCCAGGCTGAGAAGGAGATGCTGCAGAGAGAGGTGAGCGGGGCAGCTCCATCTCTTGAGGGCTTTCTAAGGGGGAGGTGGGCCTGGCATAGGCAACGTTCAAGCATTTGTTCGTTAGAAAAACTTTTATGGAGCATTGACTGCCGAGCCCTGAACAGACAAAGGTCCGTTGCCTTCTTAGTTAAGGTGGTCAGAGATTCCCCCTGAGGAGGTGACACTTGAATGAGGAGGTAAGGGAGGAGCCATGCAAGGATCTGGGGTAAGAGCGTGCCAGGCAGAGAAGGAACTCCCTCTCTGAGGTGGGAGTGTGATTCAGGGACCAGTGAGGGGGCCAGTGTGGGGGTGAAGGAGGGCAGGTTAGGTGATGCGGGCAGATTTATAGGGTCTCGTGGGCTGCTGGGAGTTGGGCTTTTGCCCTGAGCCTGGTGGGATCCTGGAGGGTTTCCCGGAGCAGAAAGGGGCGGGACCTGATGCAGCGGTCACAGGCGCCCTCTGGCGGCCGTTGGAGGAACAGCATGTGGGGGTGCGGAATCCTGCAGACCAGGAGGCACTGGTCCAGACACCAGATGGTGGCAATGGTGGAGGTGGTACGAAGTGGGCCGATTCCGGGAGGTGTCGAAGGTGAAGCTGGCAGGTTTGGGGGTGAAAGCCAGAGAAGGGTTGAGGACAAGTCCAGGTTTGGGGGCCTGCGGGACTGGAAGGGAGAAATGCGGAGGCCACAGGAGGAGCAGGTTTGGTGAGAGAGAGACCAGAAGCACTTTGGGCGGTCATGAGCTTACGATACCCATGGGCCACCCATGTGGGACCATCAGAGAGACAGTTCTGTGTCTGAGTCCAGAGCTCAGGGGAGGTGTCAGAATAGAAGAAACACATTTGGACCTCTTCTAAAGAAAGGGGGCCGAAGGAGATGGTGGGGAACATGTCTTCCTCTTGGGCAGGACAAGGGGGAAAGATAGAGGGCTGCCAGAGCCCAGCCTGAGGTTCCACTTCCTGGCTGGGAAAGGAAATCCCCCCTCCGTATTCCTCTCCCCCCCTCCCCACCACCCTTGGCAACCACCATCCTGTTCTCTGTATTTGTGAGTTCGATTTTTTGTTTTATTTTGTTTTAGATTCCAAATATAAGTGAGATCACAATGTATTTGTCTTTCTCTGACTTATTTCGCTTAGTATAATGCCCTCAAGGTCCATCCATGTTGTGGCAAATGGCAGGATTTCCTTCCTTTTTTTTTTTTTTTAAGATTTTATTTTTAAGTAGTATCTACATGGAATGTGGGACTTGAGCTCACAACCCTGAGATTAAGTGTCGCAGGCTCCACTGACTGAGCCAGCCAGGCACCCCTCCTTCTTTTTTTAAGGCCAAATAATATTCCTTTGCTTATACACCAGATCTTCTTTAGCCATTCATCCACTGGCGATCACTTAGGTTGCTTCTATGTCTTGGCTATTTCAAGTAATGCCACGATGAATATAGGGGTTTGAGTTAGTTTCGAGTTAGTTTTTTCATTTCCTTCGCATAAATACCCAGAAGTGGAATAGCTGAATCCTGTGATAGTTCTATTCTTAATTTTTTGAGGGAACACTATGTGGTTTTGTATAAATGGCTACACCAATTTACAATCTCGCCAATGGTGCGCGAGTGTTCCCTTTTCTCCACATCCTCCCCAACACTTTTTATCTCATGTCTTTTTTTTTTAAAGATTTACTTATTTATTTATTTGAGACAGAGAGAAAGTGAGTGTGCATGCGTGCCCGTGTGAGTGGGGGGAGGGGCAGAAGGAGAGCACCTTCAAGCAGACTCCCTGCTGAGATACTGCGACCTATGAGATCATGACCCTAGCCGAAACCAAGAGTCAGATGCTTAACCGACTGAGCCACCCAGGCGACCCAATGTCTTTTTGATCTTTTTGATAGTAGCTATTCTAGTAGGTATAAGGTGGTATCTCATTGTGGTTTTGATTTGCATTTCCCTGATGATTAGTAATGTTGAGCACCTTTTCGTGTACTGACTGGCCATTTATATGTTTAAGGAAAGAAGATTCTTGAGTGGCTAAGTGAATTGCCCCAGGCTCAGCAGTGGGGGGTTTAGTGGGGGGTTTGGTGAGCCATAGCTAGGTTCCTGCTTCCCAGCCGGGGCCTTGCCACTGTCCCAGGAGCAGGTCTGCAAGAGGGTTTGGTGGGTGGTTGGCACTCCCAGGCCTGACCTACTCCGCCTTCCTTCCCCACCCCCACCCCAGGTCCAGGAGCTGCAGGATTCCCTGCTGAAGCCGGAACCTTTCCCACCTCCCGCCCAGGGCCAAGCAGGGGGCTCAGGCAGTGGCTCCAGCAGTTCTGGGGTAGATGAGGAGCCCTGGGGGACTCAGGTGAGCATGGGAAGCTTAAAGCCACGACCTTGAGATCTTTAGAATTCTGGGCGGCGAGACTCAAATCCTGGACCTGTGAGCCAGTAGGTTGTGGGGTTGGAAACGGCTTAACCCCATGATACTGGGCCCTCAATGACAATCTGGGTGAATCAAGTCACCTCTTTCTAGCAAGACCCCTTCTCTCTGGCTCACCCCCTGCTCCGGCGCCTCCGGAGTGATTCCAGTGCTCAGATGCTTGGACCCCTCCCCACTCAACCCCTCGCCCCTGAGATACACATCATGGAAGCCCAGATGGAGCAGCTCCAGGGGTAAGGGCCACAAATGTTGAGCTCATAAGGGCACCAGAGCCTCCCCAGCTGGGCTGTCAGCCCAAGAGTCTGGAGCTGGAGTGGAGTGGGGAGGAGGGTGCAGATCATTTGGGTCCTGACTGCCCTGGGTGGGGGGCTCTCATTTTCCTTCTCCCCTAATTGCGGAGGCAGGAGCATTGAGAAGCTCAAATGTTTCAACCGTCTGCTGTCAACTGCGCTGCAGGCGTACAAGGGCCGGTGTGAAGGCCTGAGCATGCAGCTGGGCCGGCGGGAGGCTGAAGCCACAGCGCTGCGTCTGGCCTTGCAGTACAGGTCAGTGCATCCCACCCATGATAGCACTAGTGTGGAAGGGAATGGGTACGCTCTGAGCATGATCTGCAGGGAGAGTCAGGGCCCTCATAGGAAGGCACTTTCCCACCGGAGAAATTATTTTAAGGCAATTTTAGCCCAAGGGGTGCTGAAGGAGTCTACATGCTCCCGGGGGTGGCAGTGGGGTCGGAGTGAAGGATCCAAGGACAAGTGGGTATGTCACCCACACGACACGATGGAGCCAGGTGTCCTGGAGCACTCAAAATCAGTGTCTCACAGTGAGCACTGTGAGGAGGTGTACGGAGTCCTGCTCACTCTCCGGGAGGCAGACTCAGGAGCAAGAGAGGAGGCCCCTAAGGGGGACCTGGATGTGGCAGAGAAGGAAGCCCAGAGGCTGCTGGCACAAGAGGATGCTGCCATGGATGGAGAGACACCACGGGATCCACAGCCAAGGTACCCCTGGGAACCTTGAGAGCTGGGAGGGCCAGTGAGTGGGGTCCTTATTAGAGAATGGGGCTCCCACAGCTGGCTCCGTGTTGGGGTTTGGCATGGCTGTGCCCAGCAAGGTTGGTGCAGGATGCTCCGTGGGTCGTGGGCAGGAGGCCTGACTAGAGTTGTCTGGTTGCAATTCAACAAAGTTGGCATGGTGGGTGACAGCCACTGGGATTGGTATAGGACCCACCAGGGTTGGTTGGCATGAAGATGGATGATGGTGCCCACTGATTAGAACTGGCATGATGGTGTTTAATGGTGTTGGCCTGATGTTGGTACACATGGGGTTAGCGTGATGCTGCCAAACAGGGTTGGCAAGCTGAGCAGTGGTGCCCATTGTGTTGGTGTGATGGCATCCACCGTGTTGATGTAAGTGATGGCACCTACTGAGTTGGTGTGATCGCTTCCACTGTGATGGCGTGAGCAACAGTAATCATTGACACGATGGTGTTCACTATGTTGTCTTGATGAATGGTGATGCCCATTGGGGTTTATGTTCTGGTGTCCACCATGTTGGTATGACAGCACTCACTACAGATGGCATGGAAACCATCATGGTCAGTAAGATGGAAGATGCTAGACCCCCACCAGAGTTGGCATGAAGCTAGCACAACTCTGGCCACCAGTATTGACATTAGACCCTTCTTCTGTTTCCTATAGCCCCGAGGGCAGTAGTGTGGATCGGCCCACACCACAGGAGGTGGCTACCCAGCTCTGGGGCTATATCCAGCGTCTCCGGGCTCGCCGTGCTCTGGTGAAGATCCCCACAGAGCCTGGCCCAACTTTGGCACCCGTGCCCACTGTGCCTCATGCAGAAGCCATGGTGCAGGCCATTCTGGGGACCCAGCCTGGCCCGGCCCTACCCCGGTTGGAGAAGATGCAGATCCAGCAGGACTTGGCAGCCACACGGGTACATATGGGCAGTGGTCACTGTGTTGGTCTTTTCTGGTGGGATGAAACCCTTTGCCGAGGTTGAGAGGGATGCGACTGGGGGACCAAGTAACAAAGAAGAGTACTATGTGGCTGGGGGCAGGTTTCCCAGAGGGAGGAGCATTGGAACTGGGATTTTGAGGGATGAATAGGAGTTTGTCTTCTGAAATTCAGTTTCTCATAAGATTCTGAATCTGGCTTTCCAAAATTTCCTTCCTAAGGAAAGGAGATGGAGGCAGGGGACATAATCTGAGGTTTATCCCCTGGCATGAAAGACCTGAGGTTCTAGAGTTGGAGAAACTCTAGACACTTCCACTGAGATGCTACTTGACCTTGTCTGAGATATTTGTACCCTCTGAACTGCCATTCCTACAGCGGTCATTTTTAGGAGATGATTATTTCCCAACATACAAAATCATGGTGAGGGTTTGAGTTCTTGCCTGACCGGTCCTCACTGAGCTGGCGGGGGGGGGGGCTCCTGGGGCCTCAGTTTCCCCAGATCCTAGAGGTCCCAACTCTCTGCCCACTCCTTGGTCTCTCAGGAGACTCTGGCAGACCTGATGCTGCGGCTGCAGTTGGTGCGGCGGGAGAAGCGGGGTCTGGAGCTGCGTGAGGCTGCCCTCCGAGCCCAGGGCCCAGCCCACATGCTCCTGCTCGAGCAGCTGCGGTGGGAACGGGCACAGCTCGGGACTGGTGGGGCCAGCCGTAGTGGTGGAGACAGCAGTGGAGGTGGGAGCAGTGGAGACGAAGAGGAGTTGTCCCAGGTGAGTGGCCCTTCCTGGACCTTGTGGGGATAGCAGTATACTAGTTGCTATGGGGCCCTGGTCAACCATAGCCCCCCTATGAGCCTCAGTTGGCATTTCTGCAGAAAGAGATGAGTTGAATGTCAAAGGACTGCATGTCAAATTTCATACTTGTACTTTGGGCTTTTTTTTCTTTGAGGGTATTGAGCCCACTAAGCCCCAACGCGTTTGGCATCTTCCGCTCAAACCTGTGCCTCCTCTTTCCCACCCGCAGGCTTATTCCTACTTCAGTATCCCCACTCCAATAGCCCCTGCCTATGCTTCATCTCATCCTAAATTTTGGCTCGAGCTTGCCCCGTGATGCCTTCCCTTTTGCCCCTTACCATCTAATCATGTCTGTCCTCTGCTTAAAGCCTTTGGCAGCTTCTGGAACCCTCCTTTGAATCATCTCTCCCATCTCCAAGCCTTTGTAGTTGCTGGGCCCCTGCCAAGAACACTAGTCCCTTACCTCTTTGTCTGATTAAGCCCATGACCTCTTTTTTTTCTTCTTCAAGATTTTATTTATTTATTTGAGAGAGAGAATGAGAGAGAGAGAGAGCACATGAGAGGGGGGAGGGTCAGAGGGAGAAGCAGACTCCCCGCCGAGCAGGGAGCCCCATGCGGGACTCGATCCCGGGACTCCAGGATCACGACCTGAGCCGAAGGCAGTAGCTCAACCAAATGAGCCACCCAGGTGCCCCAAGCCCATGACCTCTTGCAAGTCTGAGCTCAGACCTCACCTGCCTCCAGAGGAGATTCCCCTGTTATTTATTTCTCTTGTTAAGGAGGATTTTTACCCTCATCGGGGTATCTCACCAGATTGGGGCTGTGGCTGCCCACAGTCTCGGTGACTTCAACGTCCAGCTTGGGCTGAGTACGCCCTCCACCTAGGCCAATGTCACTTCCCTCCCTTCTGCCTCCCACAGGGCCCTCCTGCTATCCTTGGTGGAAGCAGGGGCATTGATGGAGGCCAGGTGGGCCAAGCACAGGGACCGGAGACTCTAGCCCAGGAACTGGCAGCGTCACTTAACCGGTGTGTGTCTTGGTCCCGGGCTGGGGGGTGGATGGGCTGGGCGGGTATATGCAAGAATCCATGGGGGCACTGAGTGCAGCAGAAGGCTGGGTGTGCATCCGTGTACAGGTGTGCTCACATGGAAATACCATGGACAGGTGGGGTGGGAGGAGAGGAGGAAAGATTGGCTATGGCGTTGAGCTCCTGTCTCCCCACCCCTGCACCAGGGCCCTGGGCTTGCGGGAGCAGCTGCAGTCTCTGCGGGAGGAACTGGAACAGGTGGCTCAGAAGGGGCGAGCCAGACGTGCTCAGAGTGCTGAGCTGAACAGCGATTTATGCAAGGCTCACAGGTGGGTCCCCCTTCCCTGGGTCTCCCCGAGGGACCTCAGAAGTGTCCCTGGCTCTCTCTAAGCCTCAGGTTTCCCCCGTAAGGTAGGTGGCGAGTTCAATCCATCCCATACCTCCCTTTTCTGAGCGGAACCCCAGGAAGATTCAATCTCAGAGAGCTCTGTCTGGGGCTGGGAATACATACTTCTGACTTGGGTGGGAGGGGGGCTGTTTCCTGGCTCAGCCCCCCTCCCACGCCCTCCAGTGCCCTGGTCCTGGCCTTCCGAGGCGCCCACCGGAAGCAGGAAGAGCAGCAGAGGAAGCTGGAGCAGGAGGTGGCAATAATGGAGGCTCGCCAGGCAGAGGAGCTGGAGGTGTTAGAAGCCACCGCAAGGGCACTGGGGAGGCCCAGACCACCCTGCCGGCCTCCTCGGCTCGGGGAGACCTTTCTGTAGGTCCCAGTCTGGCCATGTCTGGACATGCCAGACAGTTACGGCGGGCCCCATCATAAACTGTCCTGGAGTGATGTTATGTCATGTGTGACCTTGAATGTTGGAATCTGTTGGGTGGGATGGGGGCTGATGCACCTGGGGGTCTGGGCATTTGAGAAAGGTTCCCTGTCTTTGACCTGGCACCATGTGGCATGTGAATGTAATGTCAGCGGGATCATGCCAGGGATCATGCCAAACCTAAGACTGGCTGAAGGATTCGGGGTCAGTGAGATTATACGGCCAGAACTGAAATTCCAACACTCATCTGTCTCCAGAAGCCCTGGGAGGGCTCCAAAGGGACAGGGCACATCTTCCCTTGTCCACTCCCTTCCCAGGGACATGCTGGGTTTGGCCGGGTAGATGCTCTCAAGAGGAAAATGCCTATATCCCAGAAGGCCTCCTGAGGGCCTAAAGATTCAGGCTGTGGAAAATTAGCCAGAAGAGCAATCGCTCCCAAGGTGGAGGTGGGGGAGAGGAGAAATCAGAGGGCTTTGGAACTTGCATTCAAAGAATATGTGGCGCTAAGGTGAAGGGCTTCTGGATGGGGGGCACACCAAAGGTAAGAAATCTGCAGGTGTTTACTCCAGGGCAATGATATTCTGGCCTGAAGGTCTGGATGGCCCCTGGCCAGGCTGAATTCCAGCTTTCACTTGCAGGACCCCGGGGGCTGTTAGTGTCAGGTTAATAGCAGGCATCTAATTAGCATGTCATTTGCATAAGCCACACCTCCTGGAAACGGGGGACCGGGTGGGACGCGGCCAGGCGGATTATTGGCCTGCTCTCCCCTCCTCGGTGATGGCTGAAATCCCAGACGGGGCTTAGAAAGGTTTCCATCCCAGCCTGGTGGTGGTGATGGTGCGGGGTGATTTTCAGCCCGCACCTGTGCAGGTGTGTGCGGTGGCTGCCTGCTGCAAGGCGGGCCTGACGTCAGGCCCCTGAGGGGCCTGGGCTTAACCTGGTTCTCCTGACGCAAACTCCTCAGAGATCGCTGGGGCTGGTGACCTTCGGACGGTGCAATCTGGACAAAAGCCAGCTTTGAAGAAAGCAGGGAAACTGAGGAGGGCAAGGTCCTGAGGGGGGTCAGAGGGGCCGACCTTCCTCCCTCATGCCAAGAGTGCAAGACCTGCTTCAAGCCCCCCAGTCCCACCAGTTTGCTCGCGGTGGGGGGGGTCGCGAAAGAAGACAAGGTCACCTGTTGAAGGGTGGGGAATGAGTTCGCGCTGTTGGAGGAGGCAGGGGCGGGTTCCCAGGCCGCCGAGAGCGGGGTCTGGCCGTTCCCACGGGTGCCCCCTCGGCAGATGGGCCCAGGGCTCTTTGTCCCCGGTCCGCAGCCGCGGCAAGGTCAAATGTCACCGCGGGGCCGCGGGCAGGGGTCAAGGGGGCGGGGCCGGACCTCGAACGCCCCCCCCCCCCCCCCGGGGAGGAGGGCCCCGGGGGGTTGGGGGGCCGCGGCGCTACGGGGAGGGGGCGGGGCGGCCGCCGAGGGGTTGGACCTACCGGAGGTTCTAGGATCTGCGGCGGATATTTCCCTAGTCTCCAAACCGGCCCCAGACTGCCACTTGTGAGCCTCCCCTCCCCCGAACTTGTGTCCCTCAAGCCCCGGGTCCCTGGCCCCTCCCCTCTCCAGTCCCCCTCTGACTCCCTTCCCTGAACCTTGTCTCCCTTCCGAGATGCCCCCTGTCCAAGAATGCTGGAAAGCACCGTCCAGGGACCTGGGACCCCTGTCCTCACCTCCAAATAGCCAGCCAGTACCGCCACATTCCCAGGCAGCCCCAGAACAAAATGGTCTTCTCCAACCCTCCAGACCCCCTTCTCCAGCAGGGCTTACAGGGCAGGGAATTCCACTCTAGTCAGTCCCATGGAAAGTCCTTGCTCATGTCTAATCCCAGTCCTTCTTGCTTCCCGTGGTTGCTAAAACTCGTACCTGGCCAGACTCTCCCTGGGAGGCCCAGAGGCCCAGGACTGGGTGTGTGGTGCCTGGCTTTTACAGAACCTTGGTATCCTCTTAAATGTTGCATCATCTCCAAGATCTCCCAGCACCCCCCCGCTGCCAAGGTGCCCCCTCAGATGTAATCTGGAGAAGGGGTTGCCTTCCTTTTCCCAAGGCCCCTTCCTGCAAGGGTGGGGTGGGGTGGGGGCAGAGGGCACTGTTTTTCCTGCCGGCAGCTCTCAGAGGCCCAGCCACGTGCCCGGTGTCCAGCTCTGGGCCCAGGGCCCAGGGCCCAGGGCAGGGCAGGAGATAAGGCCAGCAACTGGACCTGCGGGACTCCAAGGTGAAAGGTCACCATAGGAAGGGCTTTTCCAGCTGGTTAAACGTTAACAGGCCCAGAGCAGGAGGCTCAGGCTTGCCCAGCCTCAGGCTGCCTGGCCGCAGGCCGGGAGGTGAGGGGTGGGGGGGTGGGACAAACAAAGGGTGCTTAATAAATGCTGTTCGGCCCCACCCGGGTCGAGGAGGGCGGGGGGGGGGGGGGGAAGCTGTAAGCCAGCGGCAACTGAGAGGCTCCAGGGTGACTGGAAGAGACATCTGCAGTCCAGCCGGTGGCCTGGCCAAGCCCTTTATGTGAAGCACAGAAAGAAAAGGAAATTAAAGAGGAAAAGGGGCAGGCCCCTGTAGGGATGGTGGGCATTCCTGCTGCCTCTAGCCTAGCTGGGCGGGTGGGTGCCCTGCCCCCAAGAGGCCTAAAATTCTGGCGAGGGGGCCCCTGACCTCGCGCCCCCGCCGGGCCACAGACCACAACATCCCTTAGCCTTGGAGATTCCCAGCACCAGGTGTTAGCCCAAGCTGAGAAAGGGTGGGGTGGGGGTCGGACGCGGCGACTTTCTGGAAGAGGAAGCAAACACAATCCATCATGCAACTGTGCAAAGAAATGCCCCAGGGTGTGTGTGTGTGTGTGTACTGCGCAGGGGCGTGCCCCCCCGGTGCAACTGGCCCCCCATTATTGCTTCTGCGGGGAATGCAGGGGTAGGGTTCCGAGGTGCGCCTCGAGGGCGTTTGAGCGAGGCAACGTCCAAGGCCGGAGGTGTAGGGGAGGGCCTTGGAGAGACATCTTGGCGAGGCTGCGGAAGGGCAGAGGGCAGCGGCGGCCCAGGCTCCTGCCGCGGCCCGGCAGGGGTTAAGGCTGGAGTCGGGCGAGGGCGGGGGCGGGGGGGGGGGGGGAGGAGCGGGGGCAGGGTCAGGCCGAGCGGCCCCGTGCTCCGCCCTCGCCCCTCCCGCCGGCCCGGGCGCCGGGCGCCGAGCGAGGCCACCCATGCCCTTATAAGGGTGGCCGTCGCCGGGGCAACGAGCGCCCGCCCCCAGCCCGCGGCGCGCGCCCCTGCCCCCGCCCCCGCCCCCCGCCCGCCCCGCGAATGGAACGTTGTGTGTCAAACCGGCCGCAGCGCGAGGCCGGCGCGCGGGGTCGGCGGCGGCGGCGAGAGCGAGGCTCGGGCCCAGGCGCAGGCCCAGGCCGGGCAGGCGCGGCCGCAGAGGGGGCGGCAGCTCGGGAAGCGCCGGCCCGCCGCCTTGCAGGCCCCGAGCGGCCGCCTGGGGCCCCGGGGGAGCCAGGGGGCGCGGCGACCGGCCCCGACGCGCGCCTGCCGCCCCTCCCCCGCGCCGCGGGCGGCCGCGTAACTTGCGGCCAAACTTTCCCCCCGGCCTCCCGCGCTCGGATGGCGGCCCGCTAAGTTGGCCGCAGCCCCCGGCCAAGCGGCGGCCAGGCCAGAGGGCGCCCCCTGCGCAGCCTGGGCCGGGCCATGGCCCGCGCGCCCCCGCCGGGGCCCCAGGGCGGCAGGGCGCGAGTCCCCGGGGCCCCCGGCTCGCGCCTCTAGCGCGCACCCCCCTCCCCCAGGCCCGGCCCCGCGCACGCGTGGGAAAGTTGGCCTGGAACCGGCCCGACCAGTTCTGCCCGGGCGCGCGGACCGGCCGCAGGAAGTTGCTGCAAAACTTTTTTGGGGGGTGCAGCCGGTGCCCCCCGCGCGCCGGGCCCGGATGCGTGCCGGGTAGGGTCCCCCCGGGCCGAGAGGGGTGCCCGGAGGGAGGAGCACGGAGGGGGCGCCCCGGCCCCGCTGCCCTGGGGCTATGGCCATGGTGACCGGCGGCTGGGGCGGCCCCGGCAGCGGCGGCGGCGACACGAACGGCGTGGACAAGGCGGGCGGCTACCCGCGCGCGGCCGAGGAAGACTCGGCCTCACCCCCGGGCGCCGCCAGCGACGCTGAGCCGGGCGACGAAGAGCGGCCGGGGCTGCAGGTGGACTGCGTGGTGTGCGGGGACAAGTCGAGCGGCAAGCACTACGGCGTCTTCACCTGCGAGGGCTGCAAGAGCTTCTTCAAGCGGAGCATCCGCCGCAACCTCAGCTACACCTGCCGGTGAGCCCCCTATCAGCGCACGGCCGCTGTGCACCCGGCCCCGGCTTGGGCCGGGCCTCTGACCTGCTCGGTCACCTTGGGCCTGGCGCTGACCTTCCCCGGGCCTCCACTCCCCCCTCTGAGATAGGGGCACAGCCCCCTCTCCCCGCCTCCATTCCATTCCTGGGATTGTGTATACAGTCGGCGCTGTATCGGTGCAGGTCCCCCCCCCCGGTCAGGTGGTCCCTTGCGGCTTCCGCCCCAGTTCCTTGCGCCTTCTCCCTCCCTCCCTTTTCTCCGGAGAGGGGTCATTTCCGCGCGGGGAAGGGTTGGGGGGTGCTGTCAGGGGTGGGGCCCTAACCCCAGGGCATCCCTTCTCTTGGGGATCTCGGCGCGCAGGGGACCCTGAGGGAATCGAACGTGGAACTTGGACTGTGGAGCTCGCAGCGTCCAGGGGCCATTGTCTGCGGCCGCGCGGATCGATACGGCGCGCCCTTGGGGTCAAATATCACTTCCAAAGTCGCCCTGGCCACCGCGGCGGCGGAGGCGGCGGGAGCGAGCCAGGGGTGGCACCGGGCGGCCTCCGGCCTCTTTCGCATGGGTAGCCCTGCTGTGGGGGGAGCTGGGCTTGCCCATCAGGG